TTTTAGAAAAGCCATTTAGGTAATAAATTAGAAAAAGGCAAGAATTAGAATGCTGTTTTCATATATTCTAAATAAGACTTCTAGATTTCCCTTTTGAAATTACATTTGACTTTTAAAAACTGACCCTAGAAAAGAACAAAAATGTGAAATAGACCTGGAAAGGGATGAATTCTTGGAGGAGAAAAAAATCCCAAACTCAATTATTTTGGATATTCTTGTATTCAATAAAAACTAGAGGAAAAAAGCTAACTACTCAACCTGAACTAACTTTACTTCCCCTTTTTGATTCTGCAACCAAACCAAGCAGTCCAGCTGTTTTGTAAATGAGTCCTTCTACTTATCAAAATAATAAAATAAATGTTTGAATATTTTGTTTAAAAACCCATTCGTAATCACACTGATGTCTCTAGAGAAAGAGTTTATGCTATTTTAATGAAAGATAACAAAATAGATTTCTTATTATTCTATTTAATAACTAACATTTGTATCCAACAGTCTCCCACAACAGTTCAGGTGTTCAATCACATCTCTTACACAATGGCAGGGTACACTGTAGTAAGTGCATTTTCTTAATATTCTCTAAATGTAGGGTGTGCTCAAATCTGCGGTGGCTGTGGGTTAACACCTTGTAAAAACAATTTCCATGTCCAAAAGACCACAAAATACTTAAAAAGAAGAGGTGGTAGTCTCTTAAAAAAAACCAAAACAAACAAAAAACCCCACCCTATAGGCAGGGATCCTCTTCACGATTCATGATTTTGGATATGATACAGACATAACAGAATCAACAATCCTGACCATGGAGATATCTATTCTGATTCATACTGCCTTAAATAAAAAAAAAAAAATAATATAAAAACAAAGATGTGTGCAAGGAATAAGTAGGGATGAAGTGAAATCAGGATGAAACAAACCAACATATTTTAAAGCCACAAATGCAAAAGGATAAAAGAGAAAAGAGAAAATGCTGCTTTTAAAAAAAGAGTTGACAAAAATGACTCATTACTGGACAAGGTAAAGTGACCATTTTGGTTATATTTCAGGACAAAGTAATGAAAAATAATGAGGCCAGACAAGGCCTAGAAAGAAGGTAGAGAGTTAAAATCAGAATATAGGTATAAACAAGAGCACAAAGAATTTGCCAATACTTAGCTAGGATGTACTGCCAGAACTTAGAGATTAGGTGGTACTGTGCACTGGAAGAATGCACACACACCTAACTTAAGTAAGATAAGGGGCGAAATGGGGGCTTGGGTCTAAGAATCTTGCAAAATTCACCATGGAGTCTGCCAAAACCAAGAAAGTTGAAAAGATCATGAAGATGATGGAGGCTGGGCCAGGGCCTCATAAGGATGAAGAACAGGAACGACCCTCCTAGATTCTCCCTAAATTGAAGACCACACCACAGACTCCGCCTAGACTCCGCCTATTATGAATATTATAACTAGATGTTGCAATTATATGAATATGTATGTAAATATGTTGCAATCACTCGTAAAAATTGTAAAAAATCCTGTAATTTCACCGGGAAGGTGGAGCGGTTTTTCCAGGACAACCTGACCGTTCCCCGGGCACTCCGGAGGCCCGTGAAATAAACATACCTCGCTACTTAAGGCTACAAACTTTGTCTCTAAGCAGTTTTTCTGTTCATGCCTTTCTGGGGGCAAAATATTGGCATCAATAAAAGCACGGGATTTTAATACCACTAAGAAAGTGGTAAGCAGAACACAGGTGCTGTTTTATTCCAGCCAAATTGTGAGGAGAAACAGAGGCCAGCAGAACTTTAAAAGGCAGGTATGACTGACTTTAATTTTCTTTTGAAACCATGGACATTGACCCTTTAAATCACAAGCCAATTACAAGCATTGTAGTGCCATTACTAATTACATTCTGAGAGTGTAAATTTAAAATGGTAATTTCAATTTTCAGTTCATTGGGAGAATGCAGGAAAATGAAATTGAATACTAATTCATGTATATCAGACACCTGAAAGATTAGAGCAAAAAAGCTATGCACTTATTACAAGTGAGTTTTAAGCAAAGCACTCAAACCTTTTATTTGCCAGGCTGCATATAAATAAAGAAATTAAATGATAAAGAAAATTGATAATGATGGATCAAGGCAAAAATAGCTACAGACCTGCACATAATCATACTTTGCCTGACTTTGCCAATTATACACAGTTTCCCCTAGAATTTATCTAGCACTGGAAACTACAAGAACAGGTTATTGCTTCAGGTTCACTAAGCTAAATGTTCATTTACATTTCCCAAAAAGAGACTTTCTGATTTTGTAACTTTTCCCACTTTATCTCTGCCAAACATGTACACCATTTTTCATGCTTTCCTGTGGACCAGCTTCTTTGTCACTGGGAGCAGCACGGAAAAGATCCATGTGCAGGCTGCTCACAGTAGGGTCTGGGGAGGAGCTGGTGACAGCATAAAGTAAAAACTCAAGTAGGTACTTGTCAGAGGTTTTTTTCTCCCACCAGACCAGAAGGAAGATAGCTGGTAATTTAGCCCAAATCAAGAGCGGGTTGACTGTTTTGCAACCCTCCACAAACGTTGATGAAGTGTCTCCCTGGCTACCACAGAACCTGTGCAAAAACAAGTTGTAGGATTTCTGCTTCTCCTCTTCCCTCAACAGAAACTGTTCATCCACATAAGGGTCAGGCAGTTTTTGTCTCTTAGAGCTCATTTTATGCTTGAAGAACAGTTCTCTGATGTAAAGAATTACTATGCAGTGTATAAAGTGTGAGTGTGTGGAGCTCTGTTCCCTTGCCAAATCAAAACAGGGTTCCTGCAGAACACTAAAAAGCCCTTTTTTCCCTACAAGTATAATTCCCCTAAAAATTCCATATTTTATGGTCCCAGGTGTTTTAAAGAGAAAAGTCTTCAGAAATGGAAAGAAAGAAATCCTGTTAAGATTTAAAGCTCTCTTCTGAAATTACAGAGTACTTTTAATTTTGCTGGGAACTAAAAAAAAAATAAAAAATAAAAATAGAAAAAATATTTGGCAGGTTTTGTGAAAATTATAGACCAAGTTTATTATGCAAGAAAAGTGAGAAGAAAAAAAAGGAACTGCTTGTTGCTTAGAATACATTAATCATACCACTTAACGCTTCTAGAAAATCCTTACACACTATAGTTGTCAAAATTACAGAATAACCTGTATGGAATAGGGATTACTTAGATTTGATCCATTGACTCCAAAAAAAAAAGAACAAATTGTTCAGATCTGATGCCGTGGGCTGAGATTTATAGACACATTTTCTCCATCAGCCCAGTGTCCCTCCCAGGTAAGAGGAAAGGGAAGATTTTCCTGGGAGCAAAGCCCAAGGCAGACCCAAGTCTGGTTTGGATACACACCTGCACAGGGGTCTGGGAGCTGCCTCCACTGTGGGTTGCGGCTTTGACGAGTGTAAACATCAGTAGAAGCGTGAGACCATCAGACATGCCCATCCAGTTCATCTCCCAGAAAAAGATGAAGTTCAGTGCTAAATGATTTTGAATTTTTTTCCCCAGCTCATTTAATAAAGCCCATTCTCTAAAGAAGCCCAAAAGCTACTGTAATGCTGACATTTTCATTATCCATTAAAGTCACATTAGCTTTCTGCTCCTGCGGAAATAATTCTGTCTGAGTCCCTTAGCCTTACTTTTTCCAGTTCTTTCTCAATGTATAAATTTTAGACTTCCTAACCCCTCTGGTCTTTACGGATGAAAACTGACTTAAGATACATTGAAGGGCCTTTGTGTTTTCACTCTGCAATAAATAACAAATAGTAACACTGGCTTTGTTTTCCAGAACTGACAAAATTCAGCACTCTCATCACCCCAGTTCCAGAAAACTTCATCAAACAGCACTTTGTGTCTGCTCTCCAAACGAGAAAAATGAACAGGTAATCCCTTGTGCTTTTTCCCCAGAGCCGCTCAGGAAAAATCATGAGTGGTAGTCAGGACAAAAACTTGAATGTGACAAATATTATGACATGCTCATAAAGGTAACTTGGAGTAGAGTGTGTCTGACACACCTGAGAGACATTATGGACAGTTCAACTTAGTGCTGACAGACAAGATGCTCAAATACCATGTTTAGCTAAATCCTATGTTCACCGGAAGGGAAGCATCCTCTTCACGTATCGACGATCCCAATTAATGCAAAAGGTTTTCCCTTAAGTATCTAACTTACTAACCTTTATTAACCAACAGCTGAAATTGCCAAAGCTTAGGCCAATTCATATATCATGAAAACCTCATAAAAGCAAAGAGCTACAGCAATCACTAGATAATCATTATCTTCATTAAAATACTGCCACAGGACTTCATATTCACTGCTTCCACTGAAATAATTTGTTGGGCACAGAGAAATCCAGTTCACAGTGAGGGTACCGCCATTTGAATCATTCCAGCAATAACACCCTTGAGTGGGAATGAGAAAATCTGTATTTTTCAGCCCCATGGATGTGGCTGAACTAACAGCTGTTCCAGCCTTAATTAAAACACTTCTTGTTACTTCCATTACGATGCAGATGATACTTAACCTGTGTACCCAGCGCAGCTCAGCAGAGAGGACCAGCTCTTCCTGCAGGCTCTGGTACAGCCAAAACCACATTAAAGCTCTCTAGAAAGATGCCCACAGAAGACTGCACATATCAAGACATCTGCACCGTGAGATATTGCTGTGATATGCTTCTAAGGACCCAACTACTAAATGTAACATCTGTGGAAAGTAGCTTCTTTGAAAGCAGCCTTTATAAACCTGCTTTCCCCATTTAGAGCCACAAAGGAACACATGCACATTTTTAAATAAAAAGATTCGTGCTTTTGTAAAATCAAGATTATCACTGTTTTGCAACTAAATAGTCCCTTTTAGCCTAGGCCACGTTTCTGACAGTGAATAAGAATCTAGCTGTTCATTAACCACTTGTCTTCATCAGTTTCTTAAGTGACACTGGCAATTGAGTCAAGGAGATTTTTTTCCCCCTCAGCTCCATCTGTTACCTGAATCCATGGCCATCTGTCATTCTCTGCAGCAGTCCAGGCATTCACAAGACCCTTCTTATTAAGCCGTGCATAGTATGGGTACCATTTCTGGAGGCCAAAAAGAGCTCGATGGGTGGATGATGCAGTGATTTGTTGGTTTGACACAATCCCTCCTTCTATCCCTAGCGGGCCAGAGCATCCTGCAAATGCAAAAGGAAAAAAGAAATGAATGCAACTCAAATGATCAACTCTTCTGAGCCCCAAGTGGCTGTAATTGCAATAGCATAGAAATAGATCCAAAAAGTCATGCCAAACACACCTTAGAAGGAATTTAAAATACTCAACTAATCTTGTTTTTGCAGAAATTAAAAAAAAAATGTAAAAAATACTTCTGGTAATTAACTGTTCTCCTTGTAAAATTAATGTAATGGATTAAGCTTTTAGTTTGCTCTATCTGAAGAGTTGAGAGTTTGAGTTTTGTGGACACAATTAAAAAAACCAATCCTCAGATTCAAATATTGAAATGATTGCTAAAAGCAAATTTAAAATTCTGCAATTACTGCCAAGTTCCATATTGCTGCTCTTGTCCCAGAGGTTAGCATTTAGCCAACATACCACAAATTGTTATTGCTGGGTTTTTTTAGAAATAGGAAACTAGACACATTATTGTTCAGTTACACCAAAAATATTTAACAGTCTTATACATTTAATCAGCAAACACTAAGTGTGTACTTGACTGTAATGTCCCGGTGTTCATAATTTCATGTGTGGTATTCATCATTAATTTATTCACCAGAAATACTTGTAGACATAAGATTTTAGAAAATCAAGATAATTCTGCTAACATTGTTTTCTGAAGCCACTCCATTTGAGTACAGGAAGAAAAACACTCAGTTATTGTGAACAATCCAAACTGAGAAAATGTTGAAAATTCATTGTATACAAATTTATTGTCAGTCTATCTACTATTCAACACCCCCAACCAGTTCCAAGTAAATGAGATTTTTCTTTACTCAATTCCAATGCAGAATCTAAAGAGAAGGTAAATTCAGGAATTATTCTGGCATCCAATATTTGTCTGTTGTCCAAAAGATCTTCTGCTTTGTAGGTCAACTGCACTTTGTCAATTTTTGGTACCACATGACAGATGTTTACCCACATTTCAGATCTCCTCAGGAACCTTGCAGTGTTTCACCTCAAGTAGTACCCAAGAATGAACTCTGAAATGCCCATGTGGGTAGAAAGTCACAAATAATTTAATTCCTCATTAATTTAAAGGCACAGAGAAGAAAAAGTGACTGTTGCAATTTGCTCCTCTTGCCAGGGAGACAGTGCAGGGAGCCACTGGTAGCACAGTCCCCAGGTACTGTGTGTCACTGGTGATGGAGAAAAATATAAACTAAACTGACGTTTTAAGCTGATTGTGGAGGAAGTGCCATGAACAAGCACTTACTGGTGCTTTGAAAAAAGGTAAACCAAACCTCCCATAAGGGTGGGGTTCAGGGTGTGATCCTTCAACGTAAAGCCTGGATAAAACTTCCAGGATATTCCTAAATGAAATCCTGGCCCCACTGAAATTAATGACTGACTTGCACCACACTGTGATTTCACACATATTTTTAACATTCCATGAAGCTGGGCTAGAATCTACTCTTCTTTATCAGCCAACAATAAAGGCTTTGCATGCAGCACTTGACTAATAATGGTGCTCAGAACATGACAACACACAGCTCTCTCCCATTGCTGTGCCAGGTGTGCAGTAGTGCCACAAGAAAACAAATCCTTTGTCACCAGCACAGGCAGGCTCAATATAGAGTGTATTCAAAAAGCCCATATATGTTGGAAAAGTGTTATTCGTCATTGTATTTTCATCACGCTGTTACTTAAGAACTGAAAGACCTATTCCAAGTCTTAGCTCTGCCTCTGAAATATTTCCATTGAAGTAGAACAAAATTCTTTGGCATATGAACTGCTATATCTGCTCGCAAGTCAGAGGTAAACAACTTTAGTTTTTTAAGGAAAGTGTATATCTTCAAAAGTTTCCTGTATTTACTTATTAAAATACCCTTGCTATTCCATAATGGAAAAGAAATGCACACAGATGTGTCTATGTGTATGTGCAGCCCACAACGCACACAGGATACATGTATGAAATTAACCACCCTTAACAGCTGCAGTCATAGATTGATAATTATTAAAAAACAGAGATGTGAGAAAGCAGGAGAGGTCTCCAAGGGGACATTAAAAAGGAGACGTTGAAGGTGTTAGGTGTGTTAGTTAGTACATCTCTTGTTTGAGATGCATTAAAAATTTTTTGAAAAGTGTGAAATCCTTACAAGAGAAAGTTGAATTTTCCTTTCCAAATTGAAGGCAGTTTAATTACCAAGTACAGCACTTAACTCTTACTTTGACCATATATGCTCAGAAGTGTTTATCTTCCTTATCATTAAGAGGATTATTCCTGAAATTCAAAGCAAATCTCTACCTTCAGGGAATAGGCACTTCATTGTACAAGCTCCTTATTTTCATTGCAGCTCCAGTCATGGTTTGTCATGTTTGTGACTTTTTCAATGTGAGTTAAACACAAAATTTACCACTCTTAAAAGTTACAACCACCACGTTAGAGATATTTTGGTGTTCAGTTCAGGCATTACAACATGTGATGTGTAGGAAGTACGAGACTGGATAATAATTTCTAAACAATATTATAATTATAAGTACATTTCTTAAATCAGAACTTTTTGGTATTTTTTAAATTTATTCAACAACCAGGACTTCAGCAGAAGTTTTATTAGGATACTGTGAGTAAGCTCTACCACTGTTATACATGCCCCTTTACTCATCCTTTAGGTCTTTATTTGAATCAGACAGTATTCAGCAAGAAAACCTTTCAATTTACTTTATTTTATCAGTTAAAATGAAATATTGAACACATTTTTGGATAGTCAAATACCACAGCAAATGGACTTCTCTTAGCCATATGCTCATTAATTTCTTCCAAATACTGCACTAGATTAGCAAGTCATTCTTTCTTCTTATAAAAACTCTAATGGGGCTACTACTCTTTAAATTTGCAAGAAATTCACCTTTCCTGAAAACTCTCAGATGAATGACTTATCTCTGGTTCCATCAAATGTTTTATCTGTAAAGGACTGGTTACAGACTAGGTTCTGCATAAGATATTAAATTTCAGACACAAACAATACTTATCTTCAAGTTAAGGTATCAATTATTTCTCTAAGTGTTTAAGAGCTGTGATATACCATTGACCACTAACAATGAAGAAAACAAGCAATGACAGCTTTTTCAGATTGTTTCTTTTTTAAGGAAAACTGAGATGCATATTTTAAGCAAGTACAGCTGGATTATATTTTATTGTTATATCCCTACTTCTATTAAATCCATAGTTCATTTAACAAAAGTCATGACAGCTTGACAAATAATAGTATCACTAAAGTTTGCAATTTAGACTGGTCAACATTAGTTACTAAATAAAAAAGCCCATTTTTATTAGTTAATGCTGACACATTGGAGTATGACAATACACTTGATGCAAGAAAGATTAAAAAAAATAAATTAAAAAGCAATAAAAAGCTGCCTGACAGGTTCATTATACAGATTCACAAGGAAGATTTTGTCATCTGGAACTTTTGTTTAAGTGTCATTAAAAAGCAAGATACTAACTCATGTAATACTGGTTTTAATCCCACAGTGACAATTACTCTTATGCACTAAATAAAACACCTTTAAGGCTTCTCCTGTTCTCATCAAACACAATTTACTTTATATCCTATATCCATAAAAACTCACTGTCCATGGAGGTAACAGAATGCAAAGATATCAACAACTAAGTGAATGGGAGTGGATCCAGGGAATGATGGGAAAAGCTAATAACATGGGAAAAGTTAATAACATAGGAAAAGTGAATCTTTCCAGTTCTCCTAAGATTCCCCACCAACTCACATGAAGACAGCAATGGTTATAAACCTGCCTTGAAGGATTCTTATACAATCTCAAACTTAATTAGGTCTAGAAACATCATGTACCATTTGGCACTACAAAAAAATTGATTTTTAGTCCAGATTTCACTTGTAGGCTGAGAGTATGGGAATCAAACAGCTCCCCAGACAGAGGATGAGTTCTATGTTTCCACTCTGATCTCTGACAATAATAAATCCCTCTAGTTGAACAATAATATTGGTGTAAAAGGAAGCAGAAGATGACAGTCAGCTTACTGTGTTTTACATTGATATCTCCTCAGGAGAAAATTGAAATAGGGAAATAAGTAATTGAATCTCTCTCTTTATTGTGAAAAGACAAAGCCTTTTATGATAAAGAGTTACTACATTAAGAGATAATAAGCAGAAAGTGCTGGGTAAACATGAGTATGTTCAATTTGAACTTTTACATTTATGTCAGTCCACAAACTAAGCAAAACCTCCAAATGGTTTAAAAATTGCTTGAAAATGTGAGGATTATGCCTCTGCAAACAGAATGAAAAGACTTCTCATTACTGATGGCGAAACATGCCTGATTTCACAGCAAGAATATATTGCTTTTCATTCCCTCAGTTGGTCAGCCTCCAGCCAATATCACCAAAACAAACAGATGCAAAATTGAAGGCAGGTGGAAAACAAATCTTCTTTAGACATCTGCAATCATGCCTTCCTCCCAGCACCTAGTTTTCTGGAATGAGACTACTCTGGCTGTGCTTGGCATGGCCTGGTGACGGTGTTGAATGCAGCTTTTGACAATGGGATTACAGATGACCTCTAGTACAACAGTAATTCATGCTGCCCCCACCATGCCATCCCAGCCTCCTTTTTCTTCTTGTTCCTCCTGCAAGGATGCACACATCCTCGCCCAGTTTGTTCTGTCAAGGATAGCTGTTCTCACTTAACAGTGAGTTTGACTCTTAGGAGCTGGGTAGGTGGATATAGACAGGGGATTAACAGTCTGTTATCAAAGTGCCCACCAATATGCAATAGGATGTTCTTGCAGGGCTTGTTTTTCCACAACCATGATGTGATAATACTAAAATCTTTTTTATAAATCCTAAGTAAAGTGCTTTTGCAGGGAGATGGTCGGATACACACTTTTAGTAACATGACGGTTCCTGGTTGCCAACTCTACCACTGAACAATTGGATTACTCATGACCACAGACATTGCATTAATTAATGCTGATATATGCATAAACT